TTGACAGAGTGGTAACATATTGAGTTCATCAGATACAGAATAATGAAAATAAATTAATGTTACTGTTTTAACCTATTTCACCATTAAAACAACAATACTGGCACTTTTCCAAACAATAACAAACCCAGAATCACGCCTCTGAGTTTACATACCGGATCCCTGGGCGAGAACTTTAACTCCTTTCGGTTCCAGCAATCCTGGATAAAAATATTCACTGGAATCGCGTCATAAAAAGCTTTTGTGATTATGACATACCACTGTTAAAGGAAGAGAACTATTCTGCTATCATTATTTGGTATGTCAAATTGTAATTATTCGAAAACCCGAATTCAAAAATCTTTCTCAACACTTTGCATATTGTTGACATCCATCCCATTAGTTTACTATTGATTTGTTTCATGAGTGCAGCTCATGCTCACTATTAAGCTATTCGACACAGACAACCCTAGTTTAGGTATGATATCAATAAATGTCTGCCAAGTAGGAGTTCATGAATGCCTGAGAGATATATAGAAACCATGCCAAGCTCTGTAATGACGTTTAATAAGAACAGGAGTGGTCGGAAAATTCTCAAACGTCAGTGGAGAGACAGGAGCAAGTAAGGTAGATATCGGAGCGGTGTTCACATGTCTTATTTCTCACCTTTGTTCTTCCGAGTAGTGTAACATGCACATGCCATATCACATGATTGTTTCAGAGAATTCCGTGTGCAACATATGGGAATAAAGTCGAGAGAACGGCGGGCAGTCACCAGTTTATCTTCTGAAATAAACGTGTTGTGAAGTTGTTTGCATTGAAAGACCTATAAGATTTCACGTTATCTGAATTGCCAAAACCTTCAATGTTCTGTTCGAGTGCAGAAAGGAGTGTGCAAGAGCAGTATCTTCTGGACTGCTCAGTTTTGAGAGATTTGGGTAGGCTTCGATCTTTCAGTTTTTGCTTCCTAGACTTCTTGCAATGGATCCCATATTCTGGTAAGACCTGCTGTGAGGCCTGTAAGGTGGGGCACTTTTGTCTGAAGGAGAGAGAGTGTTCCTTCCCTTGGGTGTCTCCATACAAGAATACAAACCACAGTTGTTGGGACAGTGGGTTGGCCTATGGTTGCAAATATGCAATCCATGTAGGATCAAGTGCAAGTGGCTGCACATGACTGTTCAACACAAGTAAATGGATTCATGACTGGGATGGATTTGGAGGCAGAAAATATTATTAGAAGAAATAAGGGAGAATTAATCAGATGGGACTTCTAAGCTTTGCTCTTCATTTATATAACAACAGTCAAGTCACTTGCTTATTTACTTCTTTTATATAACAGCAGTCAAGTCACTTTTTCTGTATTGTTTCTTGACCCATTGACCCTGGGTACGGATACTATCCACTGCGGTTTTGTTTATTTAATTCTGTTTATGCATAGATGGAAGTGCAAATATTTATTTCTTAAATTCCTTTGGAGATAATAATTATTGTTACTAATCTTGTTATGATTATGGTAGTTAGTATTATGATTAGAGTACTATTATCAATAATAATAACAATGAAAATAAAATCTCAATGTCAAAACACTTCTGTAGCAGTGTATGTAAACAACATAAATTAAACAAAATGAAGAGTGCATGTATGATTGCACTCTGCTTCAATGGGTTACTGGTGTCATGGGGCCTTTTCTTTAAAGAAGCTTAACATGTATGCAACAAAGCTGCAAAGGTTTGGGTCTGTCATCATAGTTGAAAAGCTTTCACATTCTATACTGCTAGAATTATGTGTTTGCCAAGAATGAAACATACTCACATCTGCTTTAAAGAAAAAGAGAGAGAGAGAAATCAAACATTTGTCAGTGTATGGCTAATCCTGCTAACTGCTGTCAGAGCTGTATCATTCCATGTTTTGTGTATTTGTCTTTGTAAGTTTCTTACTTTATATGCTGTTCAACTATAGATAATGAGTTTAGTATCTGGATGTTATGTCACCGGTATAGGATGTAAAATCAAAACAATGAAAGCTGTAGCTATATATCTGTTAATATTTGCAAAATGATAGTATAGAGGATATGAAAAGGTACTGGAAGGGCCATGTGAAGAAATCCATGGAAAGACCCAAGCATCAAGAAATTTTGTGGTGTCTGTCAGTTATGGCCAGAAGTGTGGAGGCCAGAGCATTGCTTGTTGTGGTTTTATTATCAATGAGTTACTGGCCCCATGTATTAAAAGGTAATGTCTCTGGTATCCCTACTATTTTTTGTACAGTCAAAAGAATTTTTCTGAAATTTAATGTATGATATATATTCCAGCCTTTATATTATTTGCAAGATATAAGAATATAACAAGCCATTAGTATATATTGTACAGTAAATAATGTAACTAGTATTGGCATTTATGAATTCTATATTCATTACAGAAAACAGAACCAGCTATCAGTATAATTTACACTTATTTAAAGGAGTTATTTAAGGGGGTACAACAATCTATACAATGCTCTCCCCCCCCTCTCTCTCTCTCTCTCT